TTTAATAAGGTTTTAATATAATTTAACCAAGTTTTACTTTTACTATTTAGACGTCTGTCTAAACTCTTAATTTCGTCTAGCAACCTTAATTGCACTATTAAAAAAATAAGTTTTTTTAATAATAAAAGCTGACTCTGACTTTCAGGTATTAAAAAATAAGATTTTCTAATTTTTTTAAAAATAAAAGTTATCTCTAAATTTCAGAACAGAATGCACTATTAAAAAAATAAGTTTTTCTTATTATTTAATAATAAATGCTGCTTCTGATTTTCAGGGTAGATTACACTTTAAAAAAAATAAGAAAAACTTATTTTTTAATAATAAAAACTGCTTCTGACTTTCAGGAAAAATTACACTATTAAAAAAAATAAGATAAACTTAATTTTTAATAATAAATGTTATGTCTAATTTTCATGATAGATTGCACTATTAAAAAAATAATTATTTTAATAATAAAAGCCACTTCTAACTTTTAAGGTGGATTATATTATTAAAAAAAATAAGATTTTCTTATTTTTTAATAGTAAATATTGCTTCTGACTTTTGGGACGAATTACATTATTAAAAAATAAGATAAACTTATTTTTTTAATAATAAAAGCCACTTTTGACTTTCAGGACAGATTATATTATAAAAAAATAAGTTTTTTTTATTTTTTAATAATAAATGCTACATCTGATTTTTGTGACAGATACTATTAAAAAATAAAATTTTATTATTTTTTAATAATAATGCTACCTCTAACTTTTATGGCAGATTATATTATTAAAAAAAATATATTTTTTAAATCTGACAGATCAGATCTGAATCTAAATCTGAATCTGGCAAATTGAATCTGTATTCAAATTTATTTGTCAGATTTAATCAAATCTGATTTAAATCTGATTTGGATCTGACAGATTGGATCAAATCTAAATCAGGATCTGAATCTAATTCGAATTCAATAAAACTGATTCGATTTGATCTAAAATATTACTGTAATTAAGAAGTTGTAATTCAGTAAGTTGTAACTTGAGATCCTTACAAAATTTATTTTAATATAAAAATTCATAAGTAATTATAACTATTTAAAAATTTTAAAATTAATTACAGCTCTATTTTTAGATATGACTGATATGTATAAATCAGATTACAAAATTATCTTTGTCTCATTTGCTAATATTCATAAGCAATTTCAAGCTGAATCAAGAATTTTAATAAAACAAATAAAAGGTATCTAATATTAAAGTAATGAATCTAACTCAATAGGTTAAATTCGCTGAATACACCAGCTTTCATTATAATTATCACAATCTGGATTGCTTTAAAGATCTTTAGCCAAATCTCGTTAATATGAATTCCTTATAGAATATTATTAAGACTGTTATATTATTAGCAAGCAGTTATAAAATACCCTATCTTTAAATCCTACCTACCCAAAAAAAAAATATTAATATAATACTTCTAACTCTTTAATTACTGTAAAAAAGGTTGGCTCAATATTATTAATATTTAAACAATGTCTTATTTTTCAAAAGCTTTGGCCAAAAAAAACAGCATGATCTTAATTAGTTACCTGTCTAAATAGAATTATTTCTAAAATGAATTTAATATACTTTACCTTTCCTTTGATTCTGAATAACAACAATATTCCTTGCATAAAAAATTATATCAAAGATATATATTGCTTCCTTCTAGCCTTAGTTAAAATTAAAATACAGAAGTTTAAGAAAATTGCTATCTTGCCAAATCCTTAAACACATCATATCCATAAGTACTACAGGTACTACAAAGTCTACCTAGATCTTCTTGATATACAAATGGTCTATTTCGTAATTTTTTTTAAAAATGCTGATCGCTTTATTCCTTCAGAATATAATTTTTGAAATTTTTCCAAAGCGCTTCTTTTTGTTCACTAAGATATTTTAGTGGCAATCCTGTTTTGGTATCAACCTTGTAAGAGCTTAAATTCATATTCTCCTTACTACTCATGAACCATTCAAATTAATATTCATGTTCTTGAAGCATAATTTTTTTTCGCACTAGTGGTTTAGATGCAGCTGGATACCCATTACCAAATACACATCCATGTATTTTTACATTGTAAATTGAATGTGAAGAAACCTATAAAAAAGATAATAAATTAGCTAAAGAAAAGGCTATTTGAATATTATAAAATATTTACATGAAGTCTAGTTTATAATTCCTTATAGAAAAACTTATCTGCAATAATTAAAAGTATTCTTTGTTTTCCATTAGCACCACGTTTATTTAAACTTAAACTATGCTTAAAACTATTACAAAATACTTCTGTAGTATTGAACATATGCTTTGGAATTGTTTGTAAAAACCATTTTGATAAAGCATATTGATCATTACTTTATCTGATTCAGGATCAGATGATCGAGTCCAAAATTCATACTATAAAATTTAGTAAAGGCATTTTTAATTAGTTGAATAATTATCTTTATATATAATAAAACATCACAGAATTTATATCACTAAGTATATATCACAAAGTTATACTACCATATTGTATTGCACTACTACTATTACCATCATGCTATTACCATTACGCCATCACATCAATTCTTTACCACCAGTCCTTTTACAATCAGCAATCTGGAATTAATAATAAAAACAATAGCCTACCTCTGATTCTTTCTTACCAAATGATGTTATATTGATACATCCAGTAGCATATAACATTGCTCGCCATGCTTGAATTTCTTTTTTAGAAAAAATATAACCATCTGGATATAATAAAGCTATTTGACAATTGTTCTCCTTCTATTTTTGAAACAACAAATACCAATTAATCTGACTATATGTTCTTTTTTTGCAAATGATATCTGAATATTTGCTTCATCTTTGAATAATCATGCCATTCATCGTGAAAACATAACAATTTTTTTACTTGCTCTAATTTTTCTTTTACTTTATAATTATCTAAGCCAAATAAAGTAATTCCTGGCCAGTTTTTTAATATGCCTATTTTTTCTCACATGCTATTAGAATCTATTTCATGATATTCCTCAAAAATCAGTTTTTTTTGTAAATACAAACAGAGCATCCATTTTCATTGATAGTTTAAAAAATAAAATATGTTTTTTGGATTTGAAATAGATAAAAGATAAAGCAAATTCACATCCAACTTCTTGTTTCACTGGTACGCCAATTGAATGTATCACGATACTAATTTTTTGTAAATTTATTGTAATAGGTTGAAAGGATAAATCTGATACAAGCTCATCCAAAATATTATTATTATCCATACCCATCATTAATACTCCAAAGAAACGCATTTTAGTTTAAAATATTTTTTTGTACAGTTTTGAAATAGCATTTGTAATATCATTTTCAACTTCGTCATTAGACTCTAATAGGGATTCACATAAAAATCCTGGTAACAAATTATTATACTTTTTTCTTGAATAACACGAATTATAAAAGGTCTGTTTTTTAGTATAACTTGTATTTTCATACCAATTCGAAAGAGATAGTATTGTTCAATTTTCATTCTGCTCTCTTGTGACGTTTTAACATACCACCAGCTTCTTAAAAAGTGTTCAAAGTGTAAGTCAGGTGTAATTATATCAGTAGCAATCAATGTTACTGAAAGTTTCTACTGTTTAGACATTTTTTTGTTTAGTTTATTATAATATTTCAATAATGCATTATTAGATTGTTACAAGTATATTAGCTCAAATATATTAATTATTCCTCCTTTAATTATTATCTACATATATGATCGACATCCTATGATCAGTGAATCACGAATTAACAAAGAAATCCCAAGTAGTGTTAAGAGTATTTTAGGATTCACTGAGGTTATAAACTATACAATTTTTGTACTTTGGAGCAGTTTTAATGATGAGATCCATTTTGTCAGCGAAAAAATCCTATTGAAGTAAGGTAGTTTTGTTGAAAAGAAAATTCTGCTTGGTGATTTTGTGTTGTTTTAAATATGCGTTGGACAATTGATTGAAAAAATTATTTTTGTATAGTAATATAAGAAGGAAAAAATAATCAGATGAGTATAAGAAAAATGAGTTATTTAAAATGTCAAAAGAAACAAGATCATGTGTGAGAGAAAATAAAATGAAAATATAGTTGATATGAAAAGAAAATGAGTTAAAAGTAGATATAAAGGTAGCGGAAAAGGAAAATGTGAAAGGAAGGACTGTGTGAAGAAAGTCAAGATTGATAATATTATGTAGAAAACTTTGTAAAATCTTTTTGCATTTAGCCTTGTATTTTTGAGAATATCTATGTTGAAATCTCCCATAAGAATGACATGAAAATTATTTTTTCAGCTTTGAATTAGAAGATCCATTAACTTGTTTTGAATGTGTAATTTATATTTAAAAGATTTTTTGTCATGATAACTAGCGGGAAGATAGACTTGAATAATGCGTAACTTGAATTTGTTCTTAAATTGGAAATCTAAATGTAAAATTCAATCGAAAAAAGGCCTTAATTGAAAAGGTGTGAATAAAGAGTATTTCTAATTAGAAGTTCAACTCCTTGACAATTTTTAAAATGATTTAACTGTAAAAGAAAAACTTGTAAGGCTTATCATAAAGGTTATTATTGAGAGTTTTAGCTTGTAAATACGTAAAATGAGTTTCACTTAGGCCTAGAATATCAAGATTGAAATTAATAAAAAATTGTTTGATTTGTTGAAGTCGATTTGAAGACACATAGCTTTGGACATTATGTGTAGCAATAGAGAGTAAGTTGGGATTATTAATAGTAGAAAGAAGATTTGCATTTGTTATATTATTAAAATTAGTAGAAATCATAGGAAACGTTTCTTTAAAATTGTTTGTTTGAAGATGTACACTTATTGGAAAATATTATTCACTTAGATGATCAGGCCAATAGTGGCAATTAAATTTCTCATTTCGTTCTTAATTTCATTAACAGACGATTTGATGACACCAATCCTTTGAAGATTGTTAGAAAAATTCGTAAAGGGGACAGACAAATAATTAGAAATAATTTATGTTTGAATATCTTAGGTTAGTGAAGGTGTAGTGTCTTCAATCATAAAGTATTTGTCGTATGAAGGAAAAACATAATTTGGGTCAGTAGCATATTTGACATTGTATTTGATATTGTGTATACATTCAAGACAATTTAGTCTAAATCCTATGTCATCTTCATTTTGTTGGTATTCATGATATCGTTTTATGGAGATTATTTCATCGCAGATTGGGAGTAGCTTAGTTTCTATATTATCCAGTCTTTTCTGAATAAGTTTCAAAGCATCAATAAGATTAGGGAAAGCTGGGAAAACTTATTCATCATCATTCTTAAGAGGAGTATTTTTAAGAGCGTTTATATATAGCGTAACACCCTTGAAATTATTAAAGGTGTTATTACATAGTAGGCGGTAAGGCTCTGGTTTAAAATGATTATAAAGCAATCTGTAAGAATTTGTTAATTTACGGTTTATACACTCTTTAAATTCATGGCCAGGAGTATCACAACTTCGACAATATTTGGTTGATGGTTTCATCTAGTATAATGTTTTTTCTTTAAATTTCTGAGACTGTATTGCAGTAGGGCCAATATGGAGGTTCTGGAGTCAAAATCATATGATACCCAAAATGGATCTCCAAACCCTTTTCCAATCCTTTCTAGCATATATGAATTAACTATTGAATTTAAACCTTCAGTGCAATTGTGGCTCAAATTCTGTTAACAAACTCTTCTTAGTATAAAATCTAGGCTTCAAAAGTTAAAAAGAATATAATCTTATTTAACTGTTCTAGCTCATTTTTAATCCCAAATAATATATCAAAAAAATTTACTATTCTATTTACCTTAGAAGAGGCCATCAAAAATCAAGAAACAAAGTGACGCAATTTGAGCTGGTCCTGACATTGCAAACCCAATATGAATAATAACTTTTATGCTATTCTGCTTGCCTCCAGAGGATCCATCGAAAATCAAGGTACAAAGTGACGTGATTTGAGTTGGATCTGACCATGTAAGCCTAAAATGCATATTATATTTCATGATATCCTAAAATTAATTCTAAAGTTGATTCATTATCAGCTAGCAATACTAAAATTTACACCTATACCTGTTCATAGGTGTAAATTTTTGAATGTGTACAAGAAAGTCTAAAAGCTTTAGATCAAGTTCTAGTATACTAATAATTTCTTAATATGCAGTAAACCATTTCTTAAGCCATTTTCTTTACATAAAACTAGGATCACTAATTTTCACCTTAGATGTAAAAAAAAATTGTGTTAGGTGTAAATTTTTCATATGTCTTAGTAACTAGATGTAAAATTTTCAATCCTAATTTGCCTTCCAATAAGTACCCATGATTATATCCTGAAGCCTATTAATATACTGGGTCACATAATAACCACTAACATGTTTCTACAAAGGTCAGGCTTAGAGCTAGTCAGTTTACCACAAACTGTACAAAGAAAACGCTTTCTAGCTTTTTAATGTTCATGACACCCTAATGATTAATAACAGGTATGCTCACAGATGCTATATTAATACAAATAACAGAAAATATATACTTTATACACAATAAGTACACAAATTCAATTACCTGAAATAAAGCCCACCTTTTAAGAAGTTGAGCAGGCATTAATAAATGTAGTCAAAATAGGAATATATTATAAAAAGCTAAAGAATAGCAAATTCATGCAAAGCTATAAAGAGCGGGTAATAAAATTATACCAAGCAGAAGATCCCGATGCATATATCCTAGAAAATGCAAAAAGATTATTCCTAGATAAGGATAAATATCATAGTATTATGGATGACTATAAATCTTGGTATGGAAAAAATCCAAAAATTCTTATTGCTGTAATAGATCTATATAAATTATACTATAAATTAGCCAAAGATTATTTCAATACTGAAGAACAAGTTAATAAAGAACTTGAAGACTTTCTTAATTACTAAGCACCCATCGAGGTGATAGCTGAGCTTTTTTAATAACTATTAATCTTTCTCTCACAAAAGATTTTTTCGGACTATTGCCTTCATCATCTTCCAGCCGGTATAAGACTGGATGATTTTTTTGCACTAAAGATTTACAGATATGATAGACTTGAGGAGATCAAATCATATCTCCAGCACGTTTTCTTCCACTTTCTAACTCACTTAGTTTAAGTAAATATCTTACAAGAACATCATAAGTTAATTGTTTCTCATCAAATTCATAGGCCCATTTCAAGGCTTAGAAGATTTTGCATAAACATGCTTCAGTTTTCATGCATTAGCAGGAGAAATACCTAGAAGACAAATTGGAAGGTTTTAACCCAAGCTCGACAACGTTCTGATATAGGTAATTTCATATCAACAGTATCTTAAATAATAAATGACCATTCTTGTAATGTCTTATTAAACTTTTCAACAATATTTATACTTTCTTTAGAATTAGCTATTAGAATATTGATACCATATTTATTCATTAATCTAATAATATCACCCTGAAATTCAACACACCCATCCACTATAAGATCTTTTTTAGGCCAAGTAAGCGGACATTTTTGGGAGTTAAAAAGTTTTTCAAGGCCTATAGCAACACTAGCAGAATTACAGTTAGTGAAGGGATAGGTTAGTAGCAATATCTACACAATTAAGTGCAAATTTATAAATTTTATTTCCAATTGATCATAAAGCATATAGCATAAGTCAGCTTGAATAACCTCTATAGGTAATGAAAGATGCACTTGAAATATTTCTAGGATAAGGTTTATAGACCTGATGCACAGCTTGTCTCTCAAGCCAATCATGAACTTCATTTAAGGTAAAATCAAACCCAGCTTTTAAAGAAGCTTCATGCAATTTTTTCGTAGTCCTCTGATAGCCTGTAGGCTGGTAATAAATCAATAGATATAGCTAAATTTCTAGCTTTACTCGAATCTATTTGTATAATTGATACTAATAAAGAGTTACGCAAAAAATTGGCAGATGAAATAGTCTCAAATGATATTTCCAATAAAAAGCTTAAGACTCTTAACAAGGAGCTAGATGCATGTTATAAAACTATATCACAACAAGACTCTACAATCTTAATTCATGAAGATGAGATAGCATCTCTTAAAACTAAGATCAAATCTCTTAAACAGCATCTCCAAAAAGCGGTAACGCTAATACTGTCCAAGATATCAATATTTTAAAGCTAGAAGATAAGGTTGAGCAACGTAAGACCCGTATTTATGAAATAACTGGTCTAAGTCAGAAAAAAGTTTCAAATAATAAAGAAATATTAGATATGAAGCATACAATACAAGCTATTTTAGATAGG